TCCTCCAGCGTCTCTTTACGGTGCTTATTGAAAATTAAAGTGGAATTCTTCAGGCGTTTACGCGGCGGCGAATCGGACCCATTATCTCGATCGTTCGCTAATCGAAATATACGGCTGGGATGTTCCTCAGAGTTCCATCAAAAGGATTTCTCGACGGGGAAAATACTTATCCCTCTACTGTGTACATCAGTTTCTTTCACCTAACCCAGGCGAATGGTGTCGCGATAAAAGTAGTCGAGAATTCGTCGAGGTACAAAGAGAAAAGAAGGAACTGGCATCCCCAAGATCCCGATGGAGCACGGTACCGGTGAGGGGTGGAGTGAACGAGGTGGCAGCCAGACAGGATCCGCGTGGAAAACGCAAACAGCGCGGCTCTCTAATACACCGGGGACTTTATCAAAATCTGATAACTTCCGAAGCGAAGGTAACAGCGAAGGAGGAGAAGCGAAACACGGTCGAGCTCTAAGCCACCCCCGAAAAGCCGGCAACGCGAGGAACGTTGTTGAGGTGGTTATCCCCACCTATATGCCGTCCCTATGGAAAGACTTGCCACTCCTACCCACGTTTCTTGCGCCTTCTTCGATGTAACGTGTCACACTTGGAAATCCCTGTTCGAATTCAAGGGACACGTTTATACACCCTTGTAAAATCTACACGCGAATCGATATAGACTATGTCTTTGAAAATCGAACCTCCTTATTTAACCCTTTCGCTATTATGAGTAACGAGTGTCTATAGTCGTTCAATACGAAGTGTTTACATTTTGAAGCTAACAATTTCACGTTAGCAATATTTTTTGGTTACATTTGGTACAATAAACTTCCCTTAGATAAAAGTATATGCAGGGGGAGGTTCTCTAGGTTCTTCTAAAATCGAAAACAAAAGGTATAAGGTTTCTGTTCAACATAGAAAAATTCACCATCCCCTAGAGTTCTCAGTTTTTCAAAATTCTAAGCTTATCAGAACATCTTTCGACCCTGATGAAGTTATTTGCAATGCCGAAGAAATATCGAGAAGCTTCAAACAGTGCAAACTTGAAGATCCTCCGCAAGTTCTCGACTGATTCCGTCCGCGGAACAGAATAGCAGCTATCAGAATGTACATGTCCCAGGCTCGTCCATCTGATATGTACAGCTTCTACATAGAGACGCGGATGTCATCGTTGTTCGTACCGGACGTATATATACGCACACAGATTGCGGACACGGTAGATAGATAGACGCCAGTACGTGAGAGCACGGAGATTGCTCCGGGGCTTTCGGGGTTGAGCATATTGAATAACTCGCTCGCTGGACCGCGAAAATATACCGCGAGGCTGGCAGTATGCGGATCGACGTTCCTGAAAGGACCTTGCAGGATCCTCGGGGCGGGCACTGTATCCTGTCTACGTGTCTACCTAACCCATCCTGAGCAATATGACGACGGCTATACGACGGAAGAGACTCGCTAGAGTATTATTTCTGTATGTGTGTGTGTGTGTGTTCGGGGTTGAAAATGCATCGCTGAGAGAAAGGGAGAGAATTTCCTCGTGATAGCGTTGTGAAGCATGTAACGAAGCGATCTTTTCGGTCCCCTTTTCGTTCGCGAAATGGATATTTCGAGGAGTCTTCTTCGTAATATTTTCATTTTAATCGTAGATAATTTTTGGTAATTGATTTCTTGATATCTTTAAATTTTTCTTAAAATTTAAGAATTCTCCCATCCTTTATTTATCTATTTTTCTATTTTATTATTAATTATCCATTATTTTGTGAAGAATAGAACAGAGTATTTGAACATCATCAATAGGGGAAATCGATATTTTTGAGAGAACGAAACGAAGCTCTTGTACCATGACTGAATTGTAGGTAAGGGAAGAGGAGGAGGATTCGTCCGGGGATTCGCAGGATTACGTGCAGGAAAATGTGGCTCGAGGCCAGAAACGGAATGTCGTTACGCCGGGGTAACGATAGGTACAGTGCGGCCATTGTTGGGTAACCTGACTAGAATACACGGTCCTCGTATCGGCGGAAAAGTAAAGAGAATTGGTCATCCGAGTATCTACAATTCTTTTGAAAAACCGCAACGAATATGCTCTGATCGTTGTGTTCTTTTTTCCAGGATCAATCGCTGTAACGTGCTGTTAAATCTTCTTATCTATTAACACTTTGAAAATTCCATATTTTATTAGCCGAATGAATTTTGTAATGGTAGTTTTTTTTCTGTAAAAAGTTACGTATCAAAGGGATGAATACTTGGCAGCAAAGTTGAAATTTATGAAGAAAGTTATTGTATATAAAATAGAGAGTTCTTTGAAAGTACATCAGTTACTACAAAAAATTGACGTCTGATGTTGGTTTGCTGTTGGTACTTAGGATTTAGTTCGTTCTTGTTCAATCGAATTGGAATTTACTTGGGAAGTAACGAAGAAATAATACGGTTGCAAACGTTTATCGGACAAGAAAAAAGAAAGGGGAGGATGAAGAAAGCGTGAAACGTTCCTTTCAGATGCAAATTACTAAAGTTCGTCGCACGTTTCGACGCAAGAAAACGATCTGCATGCAGAATAAAGACGGTGCAAGACTGAAACGTGTAATCTTTTTCCCGTTGCGCGGCCTCATCAAGATCAATTAGACTGGTACAGTCGGACGATCCTCGGCCGTTAACGATATATCAATTACAGCATAGACGTAGGTAATAACTATTAATGACTTCATTCAGGGCAGAGTAATTACAGATGCCTGTACGCGACAGAGAATCTAGGTCGACAACGATTTCAGAGACCACCGAACTTGCTCGTTTCAACAAAAAAAAAAACACAGACGAGATTCTTCACTATAGTTATTAGCAAAACGATCCGTTACTTTAAAACTAATTATTGCGGCGGTAAAAACGGTCAACTTCTCTAACAGCTTATTTCACAAATTGCATCGAGCACCCTAGTTCTCGCGCTTCTTGCTTATAGCATCAAGATCTATAAAATTCTAGACAAACTTAACTTTTTTGCTGTGGACCAGGGGTTGTGAAAAAATAAGATTAATGTTAATAATATTATAACAGTACAACGCGGATGCACATTAGCCTCGGTTAATGCTATTAATATTATTACTATCATTACTGTTCAATATTATCCGTGTTATTAATATTATTACCGACGAAATATTTCAAAAAATCTGCCGATTACGGTGGCAGTAAAATTTACGATGTTTCACTATTTCTTGCAACCCTCGTATCCTTAGACGCGTGAAACATATGCGACGTAACGCGCTAGAAGCGTAAAAGCAATTAACAGTATTGTTTCTCCCTGGAGAGGCAAGTATGTAGCTGGTTTTTCCCAAGGTTCGTAAATCAATGAAAATTTGGGACCGTGTTTCGGAGTGGTCAAGAGGGACCGTTGACGTCAGGAAAAGATAGGGTCGCAATGAAACAGCCGGGGAAAACCCACTTTCCGTTTCCCTGCAATAAGGGAAATAATACCGGCGCTATTCGCCGACGACAAATAAACGAACAATACCGCCACCAGACGTTACCTGAGATCAAGGTGCTTGGAATCGGAACGACAGGTGGTGCACCCGCTTTTTCTGCGATACACCGTCCGAACGACGACCCCTTAATGATGACCAGTCGTGACTAATCGAGGGTGGAACGGATTATCACCTCTCTTTCTTTTATTTCACCGTTGCCGGAACAATCGGGAATATTTTGAAAGTTGTAACACGAGTTCTGGCTGGAAGATTTCTTCGTCTCGTCGATAATATTGGGAGAAATATTAAAAACTTGTCAACTTTGGTGTAAAACACATTCTTGTTAAAGTAAGGGATAATTTAAATAATTATTTGCAATTTAAAAAGTTTTTTATTGATCTTCATTTGCGAACAGGTCACGGAGAAAGGGTTAAATTTCATCATATAGAACGAATGCAAAATGGAATATAAGTCCTATTTGAAAGTATTTCTTGGTAGGAGAAGTTATTTCGTATCCTGGTTGAAACGGAGAAAGCGAGGCCACTAAATTGACCCGGGATGTTGTTCAAAGTCGATTTGGATAGGACCGTTCCATACAGAGAGACGTATCACGAAGCGAAAGGAGAGGAAAGCATCGACGAAATACAATTTGAAAGACGTAATTCGAAAATCGTTGTTCGCCCGACGGCAGCGACCCTCCGTCGGACGTCAAAATGAAATTACGCGACCCTCCGCGCGGGGACTTTCGGCCGCGCACAAAGGCTCGTTTGCCGAGGACACAGCACAACAATCTGACTAAAGGGACCTAAACCACTAATCGTTTCGCGATTAACTTCCATTAAACGCTACTTAATGAACAAAACTTTCGTGTCCTTCTGCGACCAACAGCTCGTCAAGACGTTTCGTTATTAAACCAAAAGACCACTTTAAACTATCCGTTTCTAAATTTTACGAAAAGAATTGCCAATATTGATTAATAATTTTTTTGGATCGTCTTTGGAAATTATAGATGCTTTTCAATTTTAATTGAAAAATGTTGAATTAAGTTTATTTAATCGTTTGACAGTTAGATAGTGTTACAAATTCATTTTGAACAATACAAATACAACTTTGTTTAAAGAATAAAACTAGTGAAATAATTGTGGGTGTTCTATGATCGGTTTGGCAGTCGTTGTCATATTGAATTCAAAACCAAATCTTCTAATTTAAATATTAAATAGAATAGAACAGCCATTTCCGTCAATAGTTAGATGCAACAATAGACTTAAATATTTATGATAAATTAAATAATTTTGATTTGTCGTTGTGGTCGAGTCTCGCTCGGGGTAGTTTGTCGAAGGTTGAACAGGTTTCTATAGGTTTTTGTAACATAACTTCAGTTCTTCTGTTTTTTATCAGAAAGAATCTTTTGGCAAAAAATGTTGAATGAAGAAAGTCGTCTGAAGAACGAAGGAAACTTTTGCATCCCCCTAATGGGAAAGTTTCTCGATTGAAAATTATTCTACACCCCTAAATGTTTCATCGAATAACAAATAGATAATAATATGAAGAACATACCTGTTTTTCGCAGCAGCAGCACGATCCCTTTGCCTTCTGTTCTTGAACCAATTTCCCACCTGCGTCGGCGTGAGTCCCGTCGCAGCAGCCAATTCCCTCTTTTTCCCAGGATTCGGATAAGGATCCTGAAGGTACCACTCTCTCAACAACGATCTGGTTCTCTCCTTAAAGCAATGAGTCTTTTGTTCGCCGTCCCAGATCGTCCTGGGCAACGGGAATTTCTTTCTCACTCTGTACTTGTCTACCGGTCCGAGCGCTCTTCCGCGTAACTTCTCAGCCTCCTGATAGTGCGCTTCCAGCCACATAGCTTGAAGTTTACCGTGAGAGTCCTTGGTGAACTTGTGCCTCTCGAGGATGGCGTACAATTCTCTGTAATGCCCCGAGTGAAAAGCGACGATTGCTCGTGCCCGGAGCACAGCCTCGCTTTGATTCAGCTCCTGGATGTTAGGATGGGCAACTGGTAAACTCCAGAGGAACCTGGCCAGTCTCTCGATGTCACCGCTTTCTTCTAGAGTCTCGCAAACGGTGGCAACCTGGCTGACGGTGAACGATAAGGTCGGCAACGCGAAAACTGGAGCAGGCACGATCGGACCGTTGGTGGTGGGTGCCGGTGCACCCGTTCCTGCTGGTGCTACGGCTGACATCTCTGTTAGCTCGATCGTCTGATCCTCCCGGTCAGAATCCACTTACCCGGTGCTCTTTGGATCTGTTGTCTTCCTCAGAGCATCGATGTCACCGCGATCGTCGGACTCAGGAAACTCTCCGACTCGATTTGTGTTTGCTTTTCGCACCTCTCATCATGACGTTGACTCGACTGTCAGGCTAATCATTATTCAGACTCTTCTCGTCGATCACTGGATCAATACGAAACTCACTTCACGGTTACCACACTGAACTACTCTCTGAACCGAGCGGACACGGCTAAAAAATCTCACCAGTTTCTATAGACAACAACGTTAAATGTTCTATTCGAATCTTAATCCAACCCCGGATCCAAGACCCTTAGGGCGCGAGTTTAAATTCCCTTTTGAAGTAACACACGGCGATCCAGGTGAACCTTGGAACGAAAGTGAGCGTTGATCGTCGGTTCCTCCCTCGCGTACCGAATGTCACCCCCGTACGCTAGCGTCAGATGACTCCCGGTCCCAAGTAACGTTCTCCAGGTAGATATCCTCGGGGTCACTGGCGAACAGCACGCTGACGTTCTCCTCGGCCGTGGGGATATCACGCGAGGCCGCTGTTGCCTGGATCGTATCGGATAGCAAACTGGTTTCGTTTACAAGCCGGCATCTCGGCACCGGCCCTACCCAGCATGATACGTTTGTACGCGCCCGTTGCAACCGGGTAGTCCCGCCGGCTCTTGCGACCTACCTCTACCTCGTCCTCTCTCACTCCTGCTCCCTCGAACCCTCGTCCTTTCTCCCAGACTTCGCCAACTCCACCGCGGAGGGGTAGTTGGATGAAAAGAGACGACGATACGAAGCTCGGGGGGCCAATGTAGAGGCCACGCCTACCAGCCAGACCGGGATTGGCCGGATCCCATCCACGTAGCCATGGTAACCTTTCTTCGTCCTTCCGTACACCAGTGTCCGTGTTCACGTTTGTGTCCGTTTAATTATCCCTTCCAACCGTAGCCAGCACCACCGTTCGCACCCCACCTTTCAACCATCTCTACCCCCACCCCTTCTTTAGTCTTCACGTTCGTGTTCGTTGCGCACCCTTCACCTCGTCGTCGGTACCCCTGCCAGGGATCCCTGTGCTCCCGCCAGATACCTCTCTCACGCCCCCTCTCTCGAGAGCCGAGAGAGAGAGCCGAGAGAGAGGGAGAGAGAACGATCAATGAGTCGGGCAGAAAGTGGGACGGAGAGTGCAAAAAGTGGGAGAAGCAGGAGAGGGAACCCAGCATGATCCCCACATTCAACTGCTGCTGTTCCTGCTGCCGTTCCGTAACTTCTGTTGCTCCTGCTGCCGTGTCTCTCGATGGACGAACTGCTTTCGACGACACTCTCACCGATACCGCACCGACTTTTCGGCTCTGTTTGTCATCATGTCGTTCGCGCGATATTTTCCTCTTTCATGGTATCGTTCTGTACGATTCGTCTGGGGATTCGTTACCTTTCACGACACAGGCGAATGTAGTAGGATGCGTGGTCGTGTCACGGGGGTAGTTTAACCCAGGTACGATGGTGGCCAGGTTAGCCGTGACACGGACTGACGAAACGTGGACCATGGTGTATCGGATTAGGAATTCAACGAATAACTTTCATATATTAAGAAATGATATCCGAGAAAATCTATGGTATATAATTTAGAAAACGAAACGGAAATTGGGAATTGGCTACGCCATTCCTAGATGAATCCTCTGGTACCTCTTCCTGTTTATAATTATGCAATCATTTCAGCTTTATTGCATTTACTTCGTTAATTATAATACAAGTTTCGATGTTTTTCATCGATTAGCAGAGGCTACTACATAGAAGCATTGCTCCGTTTATCCGATTTGGAACGTCGACAGAACCTACTTCTTGATACCGGCGATAGAAGCCCTCTATCGACACGCGACTAGATTTCATTTCTCGTCAAGACGACAGGTACACGCGTATCGAGAAGCCGAGGACGCGCGACGGCGCCGAAGGCGTCTTCGTTTTATCGAACGCACAGCCGCCGCAGGAGCTTCGGTCTCGTGATAAATATTCTGATTCGTAACTCTGACGTATCCAGGTCGCTGCGTCAACTTCCTTCCCCCGAAATGTTCAACGTCTTAGACATTCGCTAAATTTCACACGATTTTTTCCCTCGGTCGAAAGACAATCGCATCAGTTGATTTTATTTAAAACCTCTCGAGGTGGTACATCGATAATATTTCTTCGATTACTCCGAAAGTAAAGGAACGAACCGATTGGCTGCAAATATTTATTCTCGATAAGTTTCTTAGTATCGCATCACGGGGGCGAAATAGAAGGAAATATAATCCCGATGGCGTCGATGATGCCATCAATTGCTTTCGTTTGCAATCGCTCGTTCCGTTATACGACCGACACCATCGACACGATTGGCCCTAGTTAAACCGGATTACAGGAAAAAGCAGGGTTACTAGTTTTTCGAAAGACTCCTCGGTCGATTTCTTGCGATATGAAAAGTATTTAAATAGAGCACTGCTGAACTAGATTACCAAGCGATTCTATTGCCGCAATATATGTAAATTTCTGTTAGCTTAGCTGTCAATTTGATTTCAATTTCAAATGGTCATTCTAAATTGTATTTCATTCCTGATCATCGATATTATCCCTTTTTGACCTGGAGATAATCCCATGCTACTTCATTAATATTAGGAAATACTGCGTTATTATTAAATTAAAAATTTTCTTATTTAAATATTTTCAATGATGAAAAATGATATTTTATTTTATAAATTATCATATTATCATTGTTATAAGATTTATTTTCCTTTCTCGAAGTAAAACCTTGTTTTTCCCTGCGATAAGAATACAAGATGCGTTTATTTGCGTATCTATTTGTAGATCCGTAACGGAACAGAGGTAATCAATAGGAGATAGTATTTTGCGAAAGATTTACGAACCGATGCGTACCTCGGGTACGAGGCAGGGTGTTGAAAATCAGGTGTAATGTTTCCTGAAGGTGATTCGTTCTAATCCAAAACACATGTTCCTTTTGGCAACAGAGAATTTGTACCGTGGAAAGGACGAAAATCTGGGGATTTCCCAGGGGAATTCCCAAGGATACATGGAGTAGGTACAGAGAGCGAAGACAATGAGGTACCAGCAGACCCCCATCGAGAAAGAGTGACCGACCATCGAAAATCGAAAGGTGGTAAATTCTTATAGGGCCCAATTATTCTTCGACTGGTGGCTTTATTCTTCACCTTTTCACTGTCCATGGGAACCGAAACTCGTCGATCTTCCTCATTGTTTTTCATTAGTTCGTCCTCCCTTTGCTTTTCTACATGATTGATTCTATTTTCTCGAAAATGCAATTATCTATAAATTTACTGATAAATAGGTCGATTAGAAAAATTTACTTGACCTCCTTATCATTTATTTGTTCCACTTGTTTTACTGTTCATTTTTCGTAGCCCTAAAATATTTGGATATTTGCATGTTGAGATATTTAAATATTTAGATATATTGTACTGCTTAAGTATTTATTGTATTTTGAGATAATTGTCTCTGATTTGAAATGCCGACTAATTCACGCGCTTACGCGATAATGCTAAAGCGATTTCAGGCGAGTTTGGAATATAGTGGATTCTTTGTTAACTTTAACTTTGTTGTCTTTAATCCCACTGAATGGTAAGCAATTAATCGTTCCGTGTAACGGATAAATTCCACTGATTGCGCGCATTAGTTGCTACGGGTCTAAATACGTGTTTGTTCCAGTGCATAGGCTGTAGCGAACTACGCACCTGGTATAATGCGATAATAGGTGGACAACTGTTTGCAGATGACCCTTCCAATCGTTATCAATAAATACACGTGATTAGCAAGTGTGTTAAACGATATTAAAAACATTCCCCGTCTAATTAACAAAATTTTCATCAATAATCTAAACTTAAAGAAGATTCGCTTATTATTTCATACTTGCTACAATTTATACTTAATACCTTCCGAAATCTAATGCAACATTTTCCAATATTCTCCGCACGCTTTTCACGCGTATAGTAATTGCATGAATTTCGCCGGTGATTAATAATAAAAGAACGCGCGAACGATCCTGGCGGACGTCCGGCTGACGAATTACATCAGCACGGAATATAATAGAATATCGGGCACGGAATGTCTAGCAGATGAATGTCACGATAACGACAGGTAGGCAGTGAGTATTACACCGTTCCATCATTCCACCCCCGATTACGCGGATCGATGTATCGGTCGGTCGGTGTCGTTTGTTTGCCCTCCGTCGGTTTCCTAGACAAATGATTTCGCCACACGACAATTCTCCCTTCTTCTTCTTCACGAATCTTGACGATACGTCGCGTGCGTTTCGAGCTGTTCCACTTTCGAAAGCGTTTCAGCAACTTGAAGGAAGAGTCTGTCGGTTGGCTGGTGAGAAACACTCGTTCTTCTTATCGCGCACGTTTTAGCGACCTCGCATGTACCAGCCGGTGCACAAAAGTTCTTTCATTGAATTCCATCGGGCAGCACCTATTACTTTTCGCAATGAGAACTGTCATGCGGTGCTCGTTGCCGAGGGTAAATTAATCACGGGCTGGAAATGAAAGAAAGGAAAAAGCTGAGGAAAAGCGTTTTATTCGCGCGACGCATAATGAATAATGACGCCTCCAGTGTACGAGGATTAGAATATTAAGCGCAGAAGTCTTTTGATTTTGAAATCGAATTTTATTTTTGGAATAAGGATACTTGTATTCTTAAAAATATTATATTTTTAATAGGAATTGGAAAAAGGAAAATTGAAATATATAAGACAATGGGAAGTTGATTTATGATACAGTAAAGATAGACTCGATGAGCTTTAAAGAAGGTTTTAATAAAGCCGAATCTGATTCGACCCCAGACTCGAAATACCCTGGTACACACCAGCCTGTACAATAATACACGAAGCGGGGTAAGCAACGCCCCATTAGGATGCCGTTAAATAATAAAGCCTCCATATTAGGAGCGGGCACCCCATAGTCCGTGCAACCAGAAGAGGATTATCCCACAACGATATGTCTCGGGCTCCCCTTTCCCTCTGCGATGCGTAAGTAACCAGCAACACCATAATTCAGCGTCACGTTCGAAATGTCCGTTCGATCGTTCACAATTATTTGTACGCTTTAATCCGCCAACAAACCCGATTATTTTACTTGTTTATTGGACATTCGGGTAATCCTTGTACGACTAGGGCTGTTTTTACTTTCGTCTTTGGAATTAAGTAGTTACATTCAAATCTAGCTAAACAAGTTAGATGATGTATATATACGTTGTCGAAGATTAATTATTAATTAAAAATGAAATATTCAACCGAAATATCGTCAAGATCCACGGTAAACGTGTCGAACAGCTCGAATGCTTAACCTGACGGTTTATCGGCGACGATCAGCTAACAGAAGCATCCGAAAGACGGAAGTAGGTAGCGTTTAGACAGCAAGAAAAGTTGTTCGAGTCGAGAAGTCGATTTTCGGGTATTGGTGGTCGTCGAGGGTCGCAAGTGGCGCCCGGGATGTTTCTGCTCGCGGTATGTTTACAGAGGAACCTCGGAAGCCGAGGATGAAATTTGAGGTTTGAGACAGAAGGGGTCCGTCGTTCGGCGAAGGAAAAGCTGGCTCGGATCGGTGGACCCGGTGTCTGACGGAGCTCATCTGCGCGATGGCGCCACGGCCATTTGTTTGTTTTACTTTTCTGGGCTGGCTGCCTTCTAACCCGGCCCTCCATCGACTCCTAGCCATGGGTTAATGAGGTCGTTAACGAGGCTCCCACTAATTCCGCTATCTTGCCCGTAGAAGCTGTGCCGCGCCTTCTTCTGCCAGATAATATCGTGGCTTGTTGCGGTCGAAGAAGGGGGCATCGTATAATCGAGCTGGCAGGATGCGTTAGCGGCCCTTGCATCGACGATTTCGTACGATCCTTTTACGATATCGACCTTTGAACCCTCTTCTTCCAGCAGTTAATTCGTCTGTACGAAAGTCTTTCTCCCTTTCTTTTCTCTCTATTTCTATTTCTTGTGGTAGATCGAACGATCGCGACATTGATTATTTCGTAAAATGGAACTGTGTGTCCATTGAAATTAAGGGTGTATTCCTGTTTGAAATTTATTTAACGTTGATAGAACGGGATGAAAATATTTACACGACGTGTTTTCGAAAATATTTTTGTCAAAATTTTAAACAGCACGTCGTATCTCG